ATTTATCTGGGCTGGCCTCAAACTATAATCCTCCTAATCTCTAACCCCCCTCCACCCCCAAGTAGCTAGGATTATAGGCATGAACCTCCATGCCTGGATAATAGTAGATTTTTAATGCAGCATTATTGACTTGACTGATAGGAAGGGTAAATTCATAATCTTAATAATTGCTTGTAATTAATATTCTAGAGCTCTAGATTTAGAAACTACATGGATTCATTCCTATTTCATTTGAAGTGTAAGAAAACAGTACCCATTCACAACTTATATTCAATTTTAAGCATTAATACATTGGACTACAAAAATTAGTGAAAAATTTACATGGAAAAAATGACAAATGATAAACTGAGAGAAAATGGTTGGATCATATACCACAGAAAAACAGGGCTACTGATACAGACAACAGCTTTGATGAAGAAAGTCATTCTCAAAAGAGTATATACTGGTTGGGTGCTATTGGCTCACACCTGTAATCCCAACTACTCAGGAGGCTGAGATCCGAGGACTGTGGTTCAAAGCCAGCCTGGACAGGGAAGTTCATGAGCCTTATATCCAATTAACCAGCAAAACAACCACAGCAAAAACCTGAAAGTGTTGCTGTGGCTCTAGTGGTAGAGTGTCAGCCTTGCATGAAGAAGCTAAAGGACAATGCCCAGGCCCCAAGTTCAAGTTCCAGTACACATGTGAGCACACTAGACAAGAGTCCACGCACACACATGCACGTGCATGCGCACACATGTGCACACACACACAAATTAAGAATTTCTGTTCTCCAAAAGACAACAGTATTGGGTGCAGTGGATCACATCTGTAATCCTAGCTACTTGGGAGGCTGAGATCTGAGAATCGAGGTTTGAAGCCAGCCTCGGAAGGAAAGTCCATGAAACTCTTATCTCCAGTTAGCCACCAAAAAGCTATCAGTGAAGCTATGGCTTGACTGGTAGAGTGCTAGCCTTGAGAAAAAGCTCAGGGACAGTGCCAGGCCCTGGGTTCAAGCTACTAGATTGCATAAACACACATGAAGACAATAGTAAAAGACTGAAAAGGCAAGTCATAGATTGGTATAAAATAATTTCAAAGTACATATTTACAAAGGACTCCTATCCATAATACATGAAAAATTCTACAGATCAACAAGGAAAAAACTTACCATTAAAAGGGCAGAAGACTTGAAGAGGCACTTCAAACAAAAATGAATATCCAAAAGGGCCAGTCAGGTCAATACAAATGAATCAGTTATGATTGACCACTGTGCTTCTACCAGATGGCTACATTTAAAGGAGTGACAATACCTACTCTGGGTAAAACTATGGAGCAACTGTTTCTTCTACATGTTATTTATGAGCTGTAGATTGGTATAACCTCTTGGTAAGCATATGTAAAACCAATAAATTAGTCATTGCATATTGAAAAGATCTAGTACTTGTGGCATTCAAAGGTAAGTCTAAAATATTCATAGCAACATTCTCTCCAAATGTATCATGTTTGCTATAATGCAAATGCACGTTGGTAATCAATTTGATAATTTGTGTTGCTAAAACAGAACAGAAATGAAACGATAACAAACATCAGCTCCATACAACGGCAACATCATGTTAAGTAAAAAAGGACAGAGAGAAATTAATCCATATTGTGTGCTTTTAGAAATTCATTTATGGCAGCAGAGATATAAATCAGGGGAAGTTGGGCCTCCCAGGCTAGGTAGAAGATGGAAAGCAGCACTGGCTCTAATATGGTGGGCAGGGTGAGAGGGGAGTGATGTGACCAAAATTATGTGTCCTGTTCACCCCTTGGGCTCTGGGACCTAGTGAATATCCCTTTGTGGCAGTGGTGCAGTGTGTGTTCCTCCCTAACCTCCATCCAATCAAGTCCCTTCAGTACTTGTGCATAGAGACAGGAGATCCAATCACAGGGAAACTTCTGCATTCATGCTCTGAGCAAAGAAACTGATCATGAGACTTTCCATAATGTATGTCCACCTCATCAAGAGCATGCCTTTATGGGGAAGAGGCAAGGGATCCTTTATGTATAGGTAGAGAGGGGGGGGGAAGGAGAGGGGAGGGGAGAAAAGGGGACATCTGCAGTCCCTTCTTCACTATTTTGCTTTCAAACAAACATGCTCTGTCTGATTTAATGACTTTCCTGCCCTTTCATTCTTTAATCAGCAGAGAAAAAGAACCCTAGATAGTTAAAAAAAATGCTATGCAGGTATGATTGTCTGAAGGTCTGTGGGTATTAGACATGTTCTCAATATATCTTGATCTGGAAAATGGTTTCAGTAGGTGTGTGTCAATGTTTTTCTGAGTTGTACCTGTAGTTTCCTAAATGCATTTAAAAAAGCAGCAATCCAAAGGCAAGAATACATTGTATCACTGCTTCATGTTTACAACATAAACACAGAATATATAACATAGAAATTATTGATAATTAACTTCTGAAGCAAGCTAGAATGAGATGGGAAAGACAGAGCAGAAAGTAAAACTGCTATGAATATATCTTTTCTCATAGTATTGATATTTGAGACAATGTCAGGATTTTTTTCCATGTTCCTATCTATAGTAGATCAGAACCTATAGGTATCTTCTTTATTAACTAATCTATACAAGGGATTCAAATCATTAGGAAATTGAGCTAGGGGTAACCGTGCTAGTTCAAACCTGTAGTACCACCGACTTGGTAGGCAGAGATGGGGAAGACCGTGGTTAAGACCTTATCTCACTCAATAAGGTAGGCTTGGTAGTGAGTGTCTATAATCCCAGCTACTGGGAGACAGAGAGGAAGATTACATCATAGTCCAAGCTAGATCTGGGGAAAATTATGAGATCTTATCTGAAAAAAAAACAACTAAAGCAAAAAGTGACTGGAGGTATGGTTCAAATGGCCAAGCAACTGTATAGCAAACATGAGACTTTGAGTTGAAATCCTTGTCCCCACAAAACAAAATTAATACACGCATACACACACCCATCTCAAATGTTAAAAGGAGTATAAAGTCAAGGCACTTTCTTTAAAAGGTATTTCCTGTCATTGTACTTCAGTTCACTTTGGTAGGCTGTCTTGGCGGAAGGCCAGGGAAAAGGAAATGAAGAGATGGTACTGTGACTTCAGAAATGGATGCAAAACCCCAGGAGTGCTGGAGATTGCTTTGCTTCTGCCACCGTTTGCCAAGAAATTCAAGGGATTTCAGCCTCCCACAGGATCCTAAGCAAAGGTTCGGCTGTTCTCCAACGTATTTGTAGCTCCCCGACCCGAGACGGCTCACAAGATCTCACACATACTGAGATTGACATCTCTCCTGTGCTGTGCGTACCTTCTGTGCTCATCATTCCTCTCTCTACCCCTAGTTTCTTGATCTTAGCATGTAAGGGAAAGAAGAGAACTCTAGTTTTGTTTTTTTCTAGTTGTCATATCCAGTCAGTTTTCTTATTCTTATTCTTTCCAGTGCTCTAGAATGCCTTTATTTTTGTCCCCACGTTTCTTCATGTAGCCACTTAGGTCTCCTTTCCCTCAGCAAACAAAGCAACAATGACCAAAGACTCAGATCATGTTTGTTACAAATTTACTCTTTGGATTTGTAAAATCCATACCCAGTTATGATCTGGGGTTTTCCCCCCTTTGCCCTCTCTGTTTTTGGGGGTACTTGTGAAGGAAGCTCCATGGAAGGTGATGTGGCAGAGAGAGAAATACCAAGGTTCAGGTATGATGAAGCATAGAGTCATGGTGGGAAATGGGCCAACTAGAATACACATATGAAAACCAGGAGCTCAAGCAAAACTTACACCATGGTTCTGGAGACAGTGATCAATAGGTTTCACAAGTTGGGCCTGGTGGTTCACACTTGTAATCCTGGCTACTCAGGGGCCTGAGATCTGAAGATTGAAGTTTGAAGCAAGTCCCGGCAGCAAAGTCTGTGAGACTCTTTATCACTAACCAGCAAAATGCTGGAGTAGAACTGTGGCTTGAGTGGGAAAGCCAAATGAGAGTTCAAACCCCATTACTGACACCAAAGAAGAAGGAAAAAAAGAGAAAGTTCACAAAACAGAGAAGCAGCCTAATGAAGATATTAAAAAGATGACTCTGATCAAGATGCATTATATTCATAAAATACTTTATTAAACAGAAACTGCTTTGTACAATGATTTTAAAGATAATTAAACATAAAAACCCATTCTCTTTTTTTGTTGTTGTTGTTATTGGTTGTGGGGCTTGAACTCTGGGCCTGAGTGCTGTCCCTCAGTTCTTCAGATCAAGGCTAGAGCTCTATCACTTGAGCTACAGTGCCACTTCCAGTTTTCTGGTAGTTTATTGGAGATAAGAGTTTCACAGACTTTCCTGCCCGGGCTGGCTTTGAACTTCGATCCTCAGATCTCAGTCTCCTGAGTAGCTAGGATTACAGGCATGAGCCACTGGCACCTGGCTTAAAAACCCATTCTTGACTGAGGATTGAACTCTAGACCTCTGACTTACTGGACATTCTACCACTTGAGTCATACTTCAGGTCTTTAGTTTGTTTCTTAGACTCTTGAAGCTTTCCCATCTCAGTATCTGGATTTACAGGTGTGCTTCACTTCAGCTAACCCTGCATCTTTTGCTGTTCTTTGTTTTATGAGACAGGGTCTCACAATATAACCAAGGCTGGCCTGGAACTTGCAGTGTAACCCTAATTGGCCTTGAAGTGTGATTCTTCTTTCTTAGCTTCTCTAGTGTTGGGATTATAAGTGTGTGTGACTATGTCCAGCTACCCTTTGTGTCTCACTTAGGATTTCACTGGTTATAGCTTAATATCTGAGCTATGATTATCACTGAGGCAGACATCTCTGGACCCCTCTTTTCCATCTCCATGCTGACCCTGGAAGTTTAAGGGAGCTCATTGTCACATCATCAATGACCAACCAATCAGGAGGGCACCTCCCTTGGATGACTTCCTGGTCCCACAGAAGTTCTCAGGCAGTTTCAATGGAAGGAGGGAGTCAAGAGGGAGGCCTGGTATAAGTCCAAAGATGATCATTACAACATGGATTGTGTACATCCTCTCCCGGAAAGCTGCAGGATTCCCCTTCCCACCAAAGATGAGTTTGGTGAGTGTCACTGTTGGCGACTGTGTCAAATGGTATCCTTCCATTTGCTCTCTGTTTTGTGCTGTAGTAAGTACTTCAGAACCATCTCACCACATATTAATCTAGATAAGAGTGGGTGGGAGAACTGGGTTCCTAGTTTTTGTTTTTTGAGATCATCAATTTACCCATTTGTTCCAGGATGTTGATGTTGTAGAAAGTGAAGCTGTATCTGTTGTACAACATTGGTTGAAGAAAGTGAGTATGATGTGGTGCCCAAATTTCGAGAGAGCACAGTGGGGGCAGGGATCGAGACTCTCCTCTCCATACATCTGGGAAATTCAAAAGCACCCAGTGTAGAGTTGATTCTAACTCACCTGCAAGTCCAAGAGGATGCTGGGATCTTATCCTGATAAGAGAGGCATCAGCATCCCTATGAATCAGCCCTGCTGGTCAAGCCTCATGGTGGGGGTAGGAGGGAGGGTTTCAGCTCCAGGGCAGCTCAGGAGTTCTTTGGAAAGGTTGCCATCCAGGAGCGGAGTGCAGGAAGAGTGAAATGAAGGGAGTGCTTGTGTACTCCCTACAAAGAGGGGAAGGGAAGAGGTGACGACTTGAGGTCAGATGCTGAGTGACACTTTCAGAGGAAAATTACTCGTCTTGCAGACAGAAGAAGAGGCTTCCCAATGCATCAGGGAGAAGTTGTCCATCAGTTCCTATCCCTCTCGTGGCCAGGACGTTCATGTGACCAGAGATGTGGTAACTGAGAGTTGGAGGCAGTTCCCTTAGGGACGGGGAGAGGGGGCCGCGTGTTGGTAAGGGGGAGCATACTGGGTAAAAGGAAGCATGTTGGGTAAGTTGAAGCATGCTATGTAAGGGCCCTGCCCACCTCAGCTACGGGGTCCATACTGGCCAGTAACCATTTGGCCCTTCTCCTAAATTCTTAGGTGAAGTACCCTCTCTCCAAGTGTGATTTGGAATCAAACTCAAACCAAGAGTTCCTGGAGGAGAGAACAAGAATCCAGTTCATAAGATGGAGGTATAGTGTCCTGTTGGCCCTGAGCATCATCTGAGGGCTAGGGCCTCCTAAGCCCGCTACTGTCGTCTCTTCTTTCACTGAGAAATCTCAAGTCTTAAGGGAACAGGTTTTTCCCTCATTATTATATTTTTAATGACTTGTATGGGGAGGGGAGTAGGGGTTGGGGAACTGGGTTTATTCTCCATTTCTTAAGTTTTTGAGTCCATGTCAGGTTTCTATCATTGTTGCCCTTGAATTGTTCAGAAACAGTTTGCACTTTGAAGAGCTAAAAGAAGCCCTTAAAATGTGAAAGCTAAGTCCCTCCTCTGCAGTGGAGGTGTGTGGAAGTCTTCTAAAACCTGAGGCTACAATTCAGTGACGCCACGGGATGGTGGTGCTTATCTGCTTTGAACTCACCACAGTGCCGCTCTTCTCCAGCCTCTGGTGGCGGGGAGATGCTTGGGCTTCACAAGCCTGGCCTGCCCAGTCTTGGGGTTCCCCTTATGGTACCCAGGTCCATCCAGAGTTTTGGACTACATCACCACCACATCCCTTCCTAGGAGAGGGCTGTGGGCATAAACTGCTCCCTTAGAAGCTAAAGGAAACACTATCTCTCAGATCTTCTGTTTCCTGTCATTTTGTCTTCTGTCTGTTTTATTCTCTTTGCTCAAGGAAGCTACATTTCTCAAAGGGTGTGTGTGTGTATATGTGTGTTCACAACCACAGCCATGCTCACTGGTGCTGGGCCTCAAGCTCTTCCTTAGCTTTTTCACTCAAGGCTGGCTCTCTACTACTTGAGCCATGCCTCCACTTAACTGGCTTTTTTTGCTGGTTAGTGGGAGATAAGAGTCTTATGGACTTTCCTGCCCTCACCAGTTTTGAACCATGATTCTCAGAACCCATTAACTCAGCTTGAATAGCTAGGATCATAGACTTGAACCAGTACCTGGCACAATGTACATTTTTGCCTTGGGACACTGGGTATTGATGGGTTTTCCAGTGGCGCCATAGAGGAAAGATCACTAATGGTGGAATTCTAGACCTCTCTGGAAAGGAGGATTTTGGATGAGAAACTTTACATCCTTAGTGTTGATGGTTACCTGAAGGAGGTACATCATAGAACTGTAAATAATGCATTGGCATCTTCCAATGTTATTTAAACTTTGTACACCTTAATGAGGTTTAAGGTTTTGAAATAGGCAGACAGGGGTTAGTCAATTTTCTACTGACTATATAGTATTTCTCTTCTGCGTTTTCTATGGAGATCTTAAACCAACAAGCTACCTGTTTTCCCCATGACTTGCTGATTTGAGTGTCCTCTTAGTTTTAGCCAGTAAGCAGTCAGGTCATAGAGTCTCTATGTGTTACAGCTCTGGTCATTCATTCCTTCAGCGGACATAAAGAAATCTGGTATTTTCTAGTTCCCCAGAAGAAAGAAAAGGGCATAATATAACCCCCAGTTGCAAAACGCTAAAGTTAGCCAGATGAGTAAGGTGTGTGAAAGTTTGCATTAGAGAAGCTCAGGGTGGAGAGACAGGTCATACAAATCCTGGACGCTGCTGCCTGGTATCCCCAATTAAAGTTCCTAGAGAGCCATGTGCCACACCAGCTCCTACCTGGCCACTACTGGAGCTAGCAGGAGAGCCTGGGGAACCAGGCCATTCTGGGTGCCTCTGAGGCCCATGCTGGGGTTCCTAGCCCTTCTGGGCTGGGGAATAATTCTTCCCTTCTGGCTTTATCTTCCTCTCTCTGGGCACTCACTCATATTCACAATCCTACCTTCCCTGTCCTTGGTCATGTCCCGCAAGCCCCACTATGCTGGGCCCTGGTGGCTCATGCCTGCAATCCTAGAGACTGAGGAGGTTGAGATCTGAGGATACCGGTTCAAAGCCAGCCCAAGACAGAAAGTCTGTGAGATTCTTATCTCCAATTAACCATCAGAAAACTGGACGTGACGCTGTGGCTCAAAGTGGCAGAGTGCTAGCTTTGAGCACAAAAGCTCAGGGACAGTGCCTAGGCCCTGAATTCAAGCCCCATGACTGACAAAGACTAAACAATACATGGAGAACAGGGTGTTATCCAAGTAGGGCAATTTCCACAGATACAGAAGTAGACAGATTACAGGGCTCCTGGGAAGGGACGGGATGAGTAGGACATGAAATTGGAAAGGACACAGAGTGGCCCAGACATGGGACAATGAATAAATAAGACACAAATAACAGCCAGGCCCAGGAGATAACCTTGTGAAAGAAATTTCCAGAAGCTTCTTGAAACCATAGTGAGTGTGGTATGGTATTGATTCTAAGAGCTGAGAGTGAAGCTAGAGTGGTATTTAGAAAGGAAGCAGTCTCCAAGAGACCCATTACCCATCTTCTTTGTCTCTTTGCTCACTTTGGGTGTCTTGGGGGGGGGGACACACTCTATACAGGGAGAGTGGGAGACCAAGGTTTTTGTTCTGTGTGTGTCTCTTCTCTGACATGCCCAACAGTCTTGCCCTCTTGGCTTTATCTTCCTCTCTGGGCACTGACTTACATTCATGAGCACATCTTCCCTCCCCCCAAAAACTCAGAACCCTGTTCTTTTTTTTAAAACTTATTACCCTTCAACCAATCAGTGTATAAGTACAATGAACCAATATCACCCCTTTCATGTTCTCCCCTGTTTGAATGGCATTTTGCAGCCACACCCGCATCTTCCAAGTGCCAAGTGAGATGATGGATGATGTCATGCAAGACCGACTAAACCAAGTGAGGCGAAGGTAAGCTGCTGGAGACAAGATGCTTTCTGTTCCTTGCCGGGGGCATGCGGGTGGAGGGGACTGCTGAGGTGCCTGTCCAAACTAGTCATGCTCTCCCTGCCTCCGGACAGGGCCCTGAAGGGCTGCAGGTGGTGAGCATCTTCCTAAGACCCTTCCTAGACTGTCCTTGTGCTGTGGTCTGGGGTCTCGGGTCTGGGTGTGACATCTGGTTGGTGCTCTGCCCATCAGGCAGCTTCCCCTCCACCTTTTCTGTCCCCTGCAGCATATCCCATATCACGAACGACTCCCGTTCCAGCTGTAGAACTTCCTTCTCAGAGTGCTAAGACAGGTGAGAGAGCCAGCAGGTGAGTTACTGGGCAGGGAAGATGGCTGTCCTGAGCAAGGAGGAGAGGGAGGCTGGGATAGAGAGCGTGAAGCTGAACCGTGGTGCTTTCTGAGGGGTGCTTGCATTCAGAGCCACTGGGAGAGTGGAGGAGAAGGGGCTGCCTTGGGCTCCTGCAGTGCTTCTCTCCATGTTCTGGAAGGATCTGCAGCCAGGCACAGTTTGGAATCTCTGAGTAGCAATTCCCCATGATTGCCCTGGTGGCCCAGGACCGGGTGCCCCGCAGGCTGCGGTGGGCAGGCTGTGCGGGGCCTGCTTTGCTGCATAGGCCACCAGTTGCCAGCAGAGTTGCTGCTGCACTCAATCCTACTGTGCCTCCCAAGAGCCCAGAGTCAGGAGTGAGGCTGGGTAGATTTTTAGATGTACCCCATATCAGGATGCACGTGACTGTGGGTCACATGACCTCTTTGCTTTTGCTCAGTCCAAGCCAGTGGCTGAAACGGGCTGTTTATGTGTCTGTAGGAGCAAGAAGGTCAATGGCAGGGGCTTAGAGTGGTGTGGCGCGGCCTCTCCATGCATGATAGCACCGGGCCTTTCTCTGGTTCCCAGGTTGAAGGCCTCCAGGGTGAAGGAGCAGCCTGTGTCAGAACAGCATCCACCTGCCACTCCACCTGCAGGCTGACTGGACCTGGGCAGACACTTCAATGGTTCAGCCCTTCCTTGTGACAACACTGGATTCGTTTTGCTGAACTGCTAATAAAGAGACACGCTATTTAACAACTCATACAGGCAGTGCAGGTGCTCTGTCCTTCATGCATGCCTTCATTCGCTCATTCAGTGCATCCCAGGCCTGGCTCTGGGCATCCACAGTTGTCAGCTTACAGGGGAGTAGACTGTTCTGGTCTTGGGTATTGAAAATGGGAGAGGTGATGCTGCTAGAACATTTAAGGGGAGTGGGGGACTCCTGTGGGCTGGGGCAGGGAGGACTTCCTCAGAGGACAGCTGTGGTATTTCTTGTACTTGTTTTATCCCTGCTAGTTCTTCTCCAGCATCTTCCTTCATGTGAATTCGTGTTCTTGCTTACAACTTTCTCCCTGAAGAACTCCTCCAAGTAACTCCTCCAGGTCAGGTCTACCAGTGATGGTTTCCTTTAGTTTTTTTTTTTTTTGTTGGTTGTAGGGCTGTGTACTAGCTCTGAGCACTTTTGCTTAAGGCTAGAGCTCTACTACTTTGAGCCACAGAACCACTTCTGATTTTCTGGTGGTGAATTGGAGTAAGAGTTTCATGGACTTTCCTACCTGCACTGACTTTGAACTGAGATTCTCAGGTCTCAACCTCCTGAGTAGCTAAGATTACAGTTGTGGGCCACTGGCACCTGGCCTCCTTTAGGTTTGGATTGCTTGAAGAAATCCTTGTTTCTTTGTCACCTGTAAAGAGATAATTTTGCAGGACATGGGATTCTAAGTCAACAAGCTTCTTTTTCCTCAATAATATTTCCCCTTTTTTTGCGTTTGTGTGTATGCATTCATATGTGTGTGTGTGTGTGTGTGTGTGTGTGTGTGTGTGTGTGTGTCCTGGGGCTTGAAATCCAGGCCTTTTACTCTTGCTTGGCTTTTTCCATTCACCAGGTGGTGTTCTACCACCTGAGTCATGCAAGCCTCCACTTTCAGCTTTTTGCTAGTTAGTTGGATGTAAGAGCTGCTCAGATTTGTCTGCGCCAGCTGACTGAGAATAGCATTCTCAGATCTGAGCCTTCTGAGTAGCTAGGATTAGAGATGTGAGCCACCAGTGTCATGCTCCATGTTAATCTTGTTTGCAAGGTTTCTTAGAAGTTGGATGTAATAGATATTTGTGTGCCTTTATAGATACCCAGTGTTTTTTTTTCCTCCAGGATTGTTTCTTTGTGTTTGATTTGCTACTGCTTGAATAAGATATGACAGAATGGATTTCTTTTTGGTATTTATCCTGCTTGGTGTTTCTGAGTTGCCTTGGATCTGTTGTTTGGTGTTTGTCATGAGATTTTGTATTTTCCTTCTGGTATTCTCATTATGCATGTATTATACCTTTTGGAATTGGCACACAGTTCTTGGAAGTTCTATTTCTATTTTTTCCTCTTTGCTTTTCAGTTTGGATATTTTCTTTTTTTAATGTTGTTGCTTATTTTTTTATTTAAAAATTAAATTGTTATTGTAAAGGTGATGTACAGAGGGGTCACGGTTATATAAGTCAGGTAATAAGTACATTTCTTTTTGGATAGTGCCACTACTTCCATTTCTCATGGCTTGGGTATTTTCTTGTGAGTGTTTCTTGTTTATTTAAGATGAAGATTGAGCCCAGGGCTTCATGCGTGCTAAACACATGCTCTGCTTACCATGGAGTTACAACCTCAACCCATCGGTGATTCCTGAAGCTCAAGGATCCTTTGTTCAGCCTTGTACAGCTAACTGCTAAGACATTCTTTACATGTGCTTTATTTCCTTTAGAGTGTTTCTTCATGCTTCTCTCTCTCGGCTTATATCATCTGCCTGTTGCCCGCTCTCCACTTTTCCCATGGGTGCGACTGGCATATTTATCACAGTTGTATTTACTGTTATTTTCTTGGCAGTGCTGGTGTTTGAATTCAGGGTCTTGCTCATGCTAGTCTGGCATGAAGCTGCTGAGCCATGCCTCCAGCTCTGTTTTCTGCTGGCTATTTTTAAGATAGCCTATGACCCCATGATGAGCCCACAAAGATGGGGTCCCAGGCATGTGCCACCATGTGCAGCTTCTCTTCTATGGAGGTGGAGTCTCAGAGACTTTTCTGGCCTGGCTGTCCTCCTAACATCCGCCTCCCACATAGCTTGAGATGACAGCTGTAAAACACTTTGCATAGCTAAGGGTTCAGAAAGGGATGGAAGGGACTCGTGAACTTTTCTACCTGGACTGGCCTCAAACCATGATCCTTATTCTCAGCCTCCCAAGTAGCTAGAATCATGGGTATGAGCCACTGGTGCCAGGCTATCATAAATTTCCAGTCTAATCATTTCAGCACAGCTTCGTGTTTAAGTCTGATTCTGATTCTTTGTTTCTCCAGGCTGCATTTTTCTTTTTTGCCTTTTGGTATGACTTGTAAAACTTCTGCTAAAGGCAGATCTGAGGTATCGGGAATAGGAACTCAGATAAACGTTAAGAGCTTGGGCTGAACTTTAGAGCTTGCAGTGAAGTTATCAGTGCTTAGGATTCCCTCTGACACCTTGATTCTGAATCTCCTATGATATTTGGGTTTCCCTAGAGATTCCTTAAATAAGGATCTGAGACCCTATATGACTATGGGTATTAGACTACCCATAGGGGCTCCACAGCCCTTGGGACAAGGTCTCTGTATTTACTAAGCCAGCCTGTGCCCCAAGCCGTGACCTCCATAAGGGCTTTCCACCCTCTTACCAACCTTTGGAAAGAGACGGTCTAGCGGGATGGATATTTCCCTCCCAGTTTCTCTGAAGGCTGAAAGAACAGAAGGACGAAGAACAGAAGGCTCTGGACATAATTAAAAATGGCTGCTCTTCCCCCTTTCAGAAGTGTAAGGGGGAGTTTTCTTTGGTCTTCATGGTAAAGACCTGGTAAAACTCCTAGTGGTAAAAAGAAAGTGAGTGTCCCTCCCCCCCCCCCACCCCACACCCCATGACAGGACTTTTGTGCTTTCAATAGCCCAGCATGTCCATGCTTAGCCAGCCAGCTCTGAGCCCAGGGCTGAGTGTTCCTGTCCCAGGCCTGATCTGTCTGTCTGTCTGTCCATTTGCCAGGCCAGCAATTTGTCCTGTAAACTCAGTTCTCTGCTGGATCTACTGTTGGCTTTTAGAATGTTGTTTTTTTGTTTTCACACTGGAAAGTTAATGACTTCCAAGTTTCTTTACATGTCAGACTAGAAACTGGAAGCTCCACTTAACTACTGGTATCTTCTATCACAGCTACTGTGTACACTACTATGTACTGAGCACTTACTATGTGTCCTTGGTTCTACCTAGCACTTTAAATCTACCCAAATGCTCAGTCCAAGCATCCTTTAGACTCAGAAAGTCATACAAAACTGAGGAGGCCAAAGTCACTTTGATGGCTGGGGTCTCTAGCTTGGCCTTCTGGTCCTTTTTCAAGCATGTATACTATATGTGGGCCCTGGGTTTAGACTCTGGAAAGGCCGCAGTCAATAGGTCCTGCCCAGGCCCATCCCCAATGCTATGATAGCACATATCAATCCTAGGGTTTACCCTTAACTTCTGTAACTCCACTTTCCTTTTATGACTTCATTTTAGAAGCAAAAAGCACCTCCATCCATGAGACTAGTTTCTTATGGTTTGACATTTAAAATATATATGTACCTCCTGTCCCGTTTATGCTCCTAAGTCACAGTCATGCTGCCCTTGCTCAGTGCTGTTTGGCTTCTGAAACTTCCTGCTTAGTTTGCACCTGCAGGAAAGAACTGTTAGGGGCTTGAGCACCACCACCCCAGAGCAAACAAGAATGTACATTTTCTGCTTAAAAGCAGCCCTCAGAACAGGCTCAGTACTGTACTTGGTCAATCGTTGACCTACTGGACGGCTAATAAAGGCTTTCTATTGGCTGTACTCTGTGTGGTCTTCCTGGTGGCTTACCTCACAACAATGCAACTTTACTTTGACTGGGGAGCTGAATTTAATAAGACAACCCTATGAGTCAGAATTTTCATCGTTCAAGAAGGACTACTAGATATTATGGAAACTTCATCAGAAAAGGAAACATTTATTTATTTATTTTTGGTTGTGGGGCTTGAACTCAGGGCCTGGGCACTGTCCCTGAGCCTCTTTGTGCTCAAGGCTAGTTCTCTACCACTTGTGCCACAGCACCATTTCCAACTTTTGAGTGATTAATTGGAAATGTGAGTCTCACATGGATTTTTTTTTTGCCCGGGTTGGCTTCTACCATGATCTCAGATCTTGGCCCTCCTGAGTTGCGAGGATTACAGGCATGAGCCACTGGTACCTGGAT